TCCTGGATGGTGACTTAAGTCCTTCTTTAAGTCTTTTTTCTCCACTATTCAAACTGAAATCCATCATCCACTGATCTTCTGTACAAATATGTCCATTTCCATCTTAAACTACTTGTGCTTGTGCCAACGCTGGCATTTAGCTCAATTAGCTGTTCTCTCTTCATGGGATTTGCCTCATGTACTTACAAATTATATTCCCCAAGCCTTGAATGGTGTTGAGTTACCCATGACTGTTGAGCTTAAATGTCAGTGGAGAATCAGATTTGTTCAGGAGAGTGTAATGATGTGTTTGTTGTTGCAAAGCTGTAGGACTCATAAAGTACTGTTACTGGCTAATGTGACCACCCAGGGTCATAGAGGCCAATTCCCCAAAGCTCTCACTGCTCTTTGTGTTCTCTTTGGCTTCCTTGCTTCAAAGAAAAGGTTTATTATTTCCTGAGCATGCGTGCAGGCCACACTTAGTTACTTCTGAGAACAACTTTCTCTGCAGATGCAAGTTGTTACATTACACAATTCCATTTATCTGTCTTCCTCAGCTTCTTGTTGCCTTATCTCTGGACTTCCAGTTAGTTTTTTCTGCTAGTGCCTGGTATGTTGTAGCAGTGGAGAAATTAAGTTAGGAAAATGTGTAGCTCTCAAATGCATAAACCCAAACCCTCTCATTTTTCAGAGTCAATAGGCTACTAGTAATTGAATGCTTTATGGGGTGAAGATCATAATAGAATGGTTTGTGTTGGAAAGGACCTTAAAGCTCATCCAGTTCCAACCCCCTGCCACAGGCAGGGACACCTTCCACTAGAGCAGGTTGCTCCAAGCACCCCCATCCAACCTGGCCTTGAACACTGCCGGGTTTGGGGCGGCCACAGCTTCTCTGGGCACCCTGTGCCAGCGCCTCAGCACCCTCACAGGGAAGAACTTCCGCCTACTAGCTCATCTCCATCTTGCCCCTGGCAGGTAAAAGCCATTCCCCCTTTTCTTGTCCCTACATGCACTTGTCAAAAGCCTTCTTGTAGGCCCCCTTTAGTGGGAGTCGCTGCTCAGCCAGGCCTGTGGGGTAACTCTTCAACTTTAGTTGAAGTTGGCACAAACAAGGGTGTGAAAGCAGCCAGAAGTGTAGGGTTGGCTGTCACCTTCTTCCTCTTATTAGAAGGCATTGGCTGCGAGACAGATTCTCTCCAGCAGACCTCTAGCAACTTAAGTCTACTGTGCAAGAAGCACTTGAAATGTGATTTTGCAATGTAAATAGAGGCTATTATGAGGTTTCTGCATGCAAAAGGAAGTCTGGTTGATTTGGCTGGAGCAGCTGACTCTGGGGTTCTGCTGTTTGTTTTCTGATCCTGTTGATGAGCTTAATGTCAGCCATGACAAACTACTCCAGCTTCTTCCTTGCCTCTGTTATTACATCCCACAGGTATACAGCGAGTGAGAACTTTAAAATCTAAACTAGGATTGTGGTACATCTTAATTTGATACCTCATGATGCTTGGGATGCACTATTTGAATTAATATTCCCCTGTCGTATTTGGGAGAAAGCAGCAGGGGAGGCAAAAAAACTGCTCTCTGTAGGGTAAACCAGTTTGTGGACAAGGTTGTCTTGCTGTTATGACTTGTGTTTAAGAACAGTATGAAGCCTTACTTAAAGGAGTTGATGTGTACAATTGCCTGAGAGGCTTTGAGGAATTATAGAAGTTACCGGATGAGTGCCAAATAAAGCATTTGGAAGTTGTGAGCAGTTTAAGAGTGTATGTGGGGAAACTGTATTTTGGGTTTTCTTTCTGTTCCTTTTATTGTCAAAACAGAGATGCTTTCATGTATGAGTTACATAAAAATTTCATGTTCCTGTTTATTACAGGGATTAGAAGTGTCTTATGAAAGGGAAGATTTTTGTGTGGTTTCAGTTGAATTCAAGGTTTAAGGAAAAACTCGTGCCAAATATCCCAAGACTCACTGATGTCAGTCTACAGCATGACAGCCTTTCTCCAGAATTCAGTCCACGTGGTATTTCTATCCATTTCCATGATTTAATCGGTCTGTTGTGGAGCTTTCTTTCTCCTTTCAGTCTCATTTGATTCTGAAAACTTGCGTGGCAAAGGAAAACTCCAAACTTGCAATGGCACCAAACCAGCTGCTGAGACCTCTTGGTTCTTTTTGGTTTTTATAGGGGCTTTTAGGAGGAAAAAAGTGTCCAAAAAGAGCTCAACAGAATTGAGCTTCAGGGGTGGTAGTGGGTAATTTGAAAAGGGGGAAGGCATTGGTTGTAGACCTTAAGTCGGCAGTTTTTAGCTGTTGGAATATACTTGGAATCAATGCTAACAACCATTTGCAGCAAGTCCGCTTTGCACTCACTTGTATCTGTGCATCTCCTGAGGTTGAGAGTTCATAAAACACAGAAAGAGGTTTTCTTGTTCATGCAGAGCCTAAAATCTGCTCTGGTTTTAATTAGGGAGTTATATAGTTTCTTTGGTTATATAGTTTCTTTGGTTACTCAAAGAAGTGGTAAATGCCTCATCCCTCGCAGTGTTCATGGCCTTGGGTGACATGGTCTAGTGTGAGGCATCCCTCCCCGTGGCAGGGGGATTGGAATTAGATGATCTCAAAGTCATTTCCAACCCAAGAATTATAGAATTCTGTGATTCTATAATTCTATGGCAAGTTGTTTGAGATACTATTATATGAACCTCATGGCACAAAATCACAATGACAATCATGGAGAAGATAAATATGGCTGCTAGACATAACCACATGCAGAAGGGGGTTGAGGAACATAATTAACTTGGCTGCAGCTGCCTTCCTCATCTGCAAGAAACTCTGTTATCTTGAGAGATGAAGTTTCCCTTAGAGAAGTGCCAGTATCTTGTTTTGATCTCCTGGTTGAAGCCTGTGGCCAGGGGAGCAAGAGCAATGACTCGCTGCGTGATGTTCATGCTCCTTCGATCAATACAGTGTCAGCATCCTGTCTGCCAGATGGCAGATATCAGACTGTAGACGCCTCAGGCGGACACACGCAAACCTAAAGGGTGGTTGTGATGAGAGCTGCCTAATAGGGATCTGCCCAGCAGCAGCATCTACTTCTCTTCTGTCTCTCACCAGGGTTGTCACTAGGGATGCTTCTAACAGTAAATTCAAGCTCTTTTATTTCTTTGGCTCCGTTACATCTATGGGGCTGTAACCTGGAGCTATTACTCTAGGTACAGCTGAGTCCCTGCCTTGCCCTCCCCCCTGCTCCATTCCTTTGTGGTTTTTTGGGAAGAAGTTTGTCTTTGGCAGTTGGGATTGCCCTGTAAGTGAATAGTCCTCTGGAGCCATGGCCTATAAAAGAGGCAAAACACTATCTTAAATTACTGCTTGTAAATGCAGTTTGGTTTCAATATAGCAGTGAGGTTCATGTTACTGCATTGACTTCCACGTACTCAAAATGGTTGTGTAGAAATTATTCCATATATATTCAATATGTTCTGTAGGGCAGGGACTGGGCCTGCATGGGATCACATTCCTCACATAATTATACACTATTAGTGGTAAAATGTGAGTAAAAGTTACATTTATGTCTTGTAAATGAAGTTGTATTGCAGCTTGTGACAACCTTGACTTTCCCAAAGGAGGGGCTGGTCCAGAGGAAAGGGAAGGAACTCAAGTGATTCCCTTCCTCTTGAGCTCAGGGTAACTTGTCAGAACATCATAGCAGTGCTGGCTCCATGCAGCAGCTTCTAGGAAATTTAGGTGGTTTACTGTAAGAATATTGTCTTTGCAACCCTGGTACCTGGCCTTTCAGTGAGGAGTGTTGTGTGTGTTTGGGGGAAAAAGGATTTTGGCCAAGTCTACTATAGAATTCCCATTTGAAGGGATTCTGAGGAAATAATCTCTTAAACCTGTTGCTTTTGGTTCTGAGTAGCATGTGAGAAGCTTTGTTACAAATGGAAGACAAAATCCTGCAGGAACATTGCACCAGATGGAGAACATGCTGCTTAAGTCTTGAACTAGAGCATACAAACTCCCCTAACACATTCCCAGCCTCTTCCCATCTCGCTGCTGCAACATGTTACATTTGGCAGGGTTCCCATATCTTCCTCTGGGTTTTACCTCCAGGGCTTGTGACGGCTCCCATCTTTCTGATCTCCTGGAAAGGGAAAAGAGTCTGAACACTTGGAGTGGGAAGGCATGTGTGGAGGGCAGGGCATGCATGAGTGGAGTAGGATCCCAAAGTTCAATGGCTTGTCCTAATGGGGTGGTTCTTTTCTTCTGATTGCTTGGTGACTTGCCAAAAATGGTGTCCTAGAAATGTGCTAATAAATAAACCAGCATGGCAAGTGTATGAGTGTTAGCCCAAGTGGCTGCTTTTTCCCCTTTAAGCTTTCTGTTCCTGGTGTTCAGGCAATCTTTCTTTAAATAAGCAAAATCCAACTTCAAGCCCCTGTGAAGAGGGTTCATGGAGTGATCCAGATGCTGGCAGGAGGTGGATGTTGCAGTTGCATGTGATGCTGCTTCACCCAGTCCACTGCTTCATTGTGAATCAGGGCTAAAAGCAGCAGTGGCTTTTATTCCACACTATCTGGCTCTTGCCTGTCCATGTATGATAGCCACAGACACAGATTTCTTATGTTCTCTTCAATGTGATGTCAATACTTGTGACCACATGTTGGTTTTGTTTTTACTTTAAATGAATGGGAGAAGTGTTCTTGATTTGTTTTGTCATGTTTCCCCTTCCCTATCCTCCGAATTGTTCTGCTGCCTTAAAGAACAACTTAAAAATGACTTATCCTAAATTGTTATCATTTGAATAACACTTGATTCTGTGTTTTAGGGTGTGAGTTGTATTGGAAGGGAGTATATTCTCATGGCCACCTCGTTCAAGAGGCCTGTAAAACAGGTTTGAGTTGAAGTGACCATTTGAACTTCACAAAGTAGTTTAATCACACTGCAAAACTTGTTTCTTTTAATTAAAAATGCATGCATCATCTACTTCCCTGATATTCCAGCTTGTTCTTTCTTGTCTCTTTTAGGGGATGTTTTGTTTGTTCTTAAACCCTGGATATGCTGGGTCAGTGAACTGTTACTCCAGGAAGCAGAGCTGAGTGGACAAGCTGAGAAGACATCATTCTAATGGCAAGTGGGAATGCAACACTTATCCCAAAGCCTCTCATCTAGGGAAGTATGTATATCCAAGACAGCAGCACTCGGGGCTCCTTAAACCACTGTCTGTGACCTGATCCAGCTTTCTCAGTACCTGCTGAAGAAGACTTTTCTTCTGTACCTCTAAAGCAGTCTACAAGATTATCCTCTCCAGCAGGATTTAATTTCTTCCTGGACACTCTACCCTGCACGTACAAGATGATTGACCTAAGCTTCCTAACAGAGGAGGAACAAGAGGCAATAATGAAGGTGTTGCAACGGGATGCAGAGCTTAAAAGAGCTGAAGAAGAGAGAGTCAGGTAAGGGATCCAACACCCTTGATTGTCCTGGGAAGGCTTACACAGCTCGCACACCAAGTTACTTGGAGTATAGGACTAGATAAAACCAGTTGCTGCTGATAGCCCCATATTGCACTGTTTATGTGGTTTGGGGGTTTTTACTCTGGACTAGATTTAGCACAGACTCTGGGTGAAATGCCTCTAACACACAAATGATTCATTGCTGGCCAAAAAGCCAAGTGTTGATTTGGACTCCTGCAATTCCCTCAGGCCAAGCACAGCTAGTGCACATCTGGCTTGATATGAACCTGGCTTGGGTTCCTCCGAACAGCATTCAGTTTGCATGTACCAAAACCTCTGCGAACTGAATTAATGAATTAATGGGTAGTAAGTGGGGAGACTTGAGTCAAAAAAAGCATCCTAAACAAGGTCAGTATGGATGCAGTCAGCAGTAGGTCTGAATGATGAAGTTATACCTCACATACATGGAGCGTTGCACCTGCAGTCCAGAGGAGGTACCAGCACTGTGCTCATTACCAAGAGATGTCCTTGCAATCGTGGTTGAAGCAGAAAATTGCTCTCAGTTTTCTTTGTGGTGTCACAGATGGAGCAATGTGGGGTTATTCTAGAGTGTTTCTGTGCTGGGAGGTTTTCCTAGAGCTACTATTAGGATAATTGCCATGAATAGAAATGCATGCATGGAAAGCAGCATTGCCCAGATGGCTTTGAGAAAGCCATCTTACACAGCTATAAATAGCAGTCAAGTAGTGGTTTCAGCTAATGGAGATAGGTACCTGCTCAGGAATGAGCACTGTAATAGTCAGCTTCTTTTTTTGTGAAGGAAAGTATCCATTACAGGGTCCACAAAATGACAAGTGGCCAGATGATGAAAAATGGAGCCTTAGATGCTGAAAGGTCCAAGTGCTGTAACACAAACTGATGTTGGAAGTCTCTGCTTGGGCAGAATTTTCAGAGAATCACAGAATGGTATGGGTTGGAAAGGACCTTAAGATCATTTAGTTCCAACCCCCTGCCATGAGCAGGGACACCTTGCACTAGACCATATCGCCTAAGGCTCTGTCCAACCTGGCATTGAACACTGCCAGGGATGGAGCATTTACTACTTCTTTGGGCAACCCATTCCAGTGCCTCACCACCCTTACAGTAAATAAATTCTTCCTTATATCTAACCTGAACTTCCCCTGTTAAGCTTAAAACCCATCACCCCTTGTCCTATTGCTACAATCCCTAGTGAAGAGTCCCTCTCCAGTATCCTTATAGGCCCCATTCAGATACTGGAAGCTGCTCTGAGGCTTCCACACTTCCACACAGCTTCTCTTCTTCAGGTTGAAAAGCCTCCATTTCCTCAGCCTGTCTTCATACAGGAGGTGCTCCAGCCCCTGATGATCCTCGTGGCCTCCTTTGGACTTGTTCCAACAGCTCCATGTCCTTACGCTGAGGACATAAGAACTGTACGCTGTGCTCCAAGTGGGGTCTCATGAGTTCAGAGTAGAGGGGCAGGATCAAATTTTCTCTCACTGATTCAATAATCTCCAGGATTCTTTCTTCTGAAGACCTGTATTTCCTATTTGAATGTTTTGAAATTATTTCAACCATGGTCATCTGTGATGCTTCACTTCTACTGAGAAATATGTCTTCTGTGTAGACATTCCCTACCCTGGAAGTGAAGCAGCAGCCTGCCACTTGCCGCAAGAGCAGCCTTCATTTGCTGAGTAGCTTCTGCAGCCTTGAGGTGGTTTGGTCAGTGTGCATTCACTATGTTGTTATTACTCTTGCTTCTTTCAGAGTAAGAGCACTAAATGCCAAAGTAGTAGCTTCTCCTGGTTAACAGTGCTTCTCCTCTCGAGGTTATTTGCTTCTCTGAAGACTGAAGGTAAAATCTTTACAGGCAATACTCCCCAGTTCTTTTTCCCTGCTATCTTAATGCAACCTGAGGAAATGTTTTCACCACATAGTTTTGTCTTCTGCTTCAAAAAGCAGAAAAGTGACTTTGCTGTAACAGAACGGGTGTTTTCTTTAGGTAGAAAAACACTGACTTTAGTCTTGTAATGATAAATCAGTGCCGGGTCTGAGAGTGCTCAGGGGAAGTAATTGTAGATGAGTTTGAAAACAGTATGTGGGGAAAGGAACCCTTCCTGGAACAGATTAAATCAAAAAGCCACTCTCAGTAGTGGTCTGAAAGGGCTGCTGACAAGTATTTTTGTCTGTAACTTCTCTTTGGTCTCTTGTAATTGTAGTTCAAGAGGGTGTGGTGGAAAATGGAAGGGACTGCAGGTTGTCGCAGCCTGTAATCACCATGTTTCTCTCGACAATGAAATGTCTCTTCTGGCTTCTTAATATTATAACTTCCGAGGAGTTGGAAGTTTACGTATGAATCTGATGTTTCTATGTAGATGTGGCACATGGAGCTTGCTTTTTTGCGTGTTAAAACACTGCATGAATTGTATCTCCAGCCAAGGAGATGCAGCATTTTAGTTTGAATTCTACAGCCTTGCACACCTGGAAGATTCCAAGATCTGGATTTGAATGTCATCACACAAACATCACACCCTGACAAAGTGCTGTTTGTATGTGTATATAATGGAAGCCTTTTAATGAGATCGTTTTCCCTCTAGAAGGAATTCTGAGGTTTGGAGGGTGTTCACAGCAACCTGTACCATGTTCCTGGAGTGTGGACAAACCAGTAACATGACAAAAGCCTCTTTGAGCAACTTCCTACTGGAATTTTACACCACCTGATGGAGTTCCCTCTCTGAAAACAGCTCCTAATATTGCTTACCTGTAGTAAGACTGTGCTGGTTAGACTAGCGCACGCAGCCTCCTTGGGCACTCTGCTGTAATCCCTGGCTTGTTCAGCACTAGACTAGAAGCTGGTTTTCAGCATATTCAGCTGTGAGGGCTCTGAGGCGCTGACACAGGGTGCCCAGAGAAGCTGTGGCTGCCACATCCCTGGCAGAGTTCAAGGCCAGGTTGGATGGGGCTTGGATCAACCTGCTCTAGTGGAAGGTGTCCCTGCCCATGGCAGGGGTTGGAACTGGATGAGCTTTAAGGCCCCTTCCAACCCAAACCATTCTATGGTATTGTTGACTTTGTTGTTGTCCTCATTCCTGTCCAGGAACCTCTGCTATACCCTGCTTCAGCTGGGATTTGGGTGTTGAACACAAGTGGGCTAAGCACACAATGGAATTCCCTGGCAGTATTTTCAGCATAGCCCCTAACTCCTTATACAGTTGTATAGTTCAGAACTAACACAGTCCGAGGCTCTTTCTAGAAAGACCAACAGAAATATATCTATCTTGTGAAGTTCTGGAGTGTGATTGGGTGACTCTCCTGTGGTGGACGGGGTGGCCCCTGGCACCAGGGTGTCTGAGGCACAAAGCTGTTGCGGTCGCCTTTGTGACAGGGTTCTCTGGGCCCTTCCCAGCAGAACCTGGCAGTGCTGCTGTGGGCCATGCTGGGGATTGTTTGCTCCTTGTGTAAACTGAGGAGGCCAATGATAGGGGAAAATGTGGAGTTGTTTATGTGGTGGGTGGTGACTGCTGTGTGCCAAACCCCTTAATACATACATTGGTGTGGCACTGCAAAGATGTTGCTTAGGGTGGGATATATCTAAGATATTGGGGTAGCTGAACTGTGGCACTGGGGGAGCCAGACTTACAGGTGTAGTGTATTCTAAATGTCATTTTAACCTGCCAAAGGGGAGCTTGAGATGAGCTCTTAGGCAGAAGTTCTTCCCTGTGAGGGTGCTGAGGTGGTGGCACAGGGTGCCCAGAGAAGCTGTGGCTGCCCCATCCCTGGCAGTGTTCAAGGCCAGGTTGGACACAGGGGCTTGGAGCAACCTGCTCTAGTGGCAGGTGTCCCTGCCCGTGGCAGGGGTTGGAATTGGATGAACTTTAAGGTCCCATCCAACCCAAACCATTCTGTGATTCAATGATCTGTAGATGAATAAACTGCACAACCTTATTTTGTTGTTTCTTCCATGAGTTGCTGTCTTCCTTTGTAACTTGTGTTCATACAAGGATCTTTGTGTAACCTATGGAAAAAATGACATTGTCTTTCCAGCGCACTGTTGGGACTTGTGTGTAAGAGCAGTGCTATATGAACATCCTAAAGGGGCACCTTCTGAGGTGGTCGTACCAGGGACTTCAGGCATACTTAGTAGGTATAAAGGTCAGAGTGTCTACATGAGGATGTGTGCTTGGAGATTGCCTTCAGCCAGACCTGAGACAAGCTGTAAGCTCTTTTCTCATGCCTGTGCTTGACTCACTTCTTTCTAGCTGGGCAGATGTGCTGAAGGAGACAATGCTACATCATCACATCTTGAACATCCTTTAGTACTACCCCAGAGGAGGATAAGCCGATGCTTGTCTGCTGCCTGTGCTTTCATTCCTTCCTTTGCTTGGCTTTGTGTGGTGGTTGCATGAAATGAAGCAGCTCAGAGGCATTTCCCATTGCCAAAGACAGACAGGATCCAGCACATCAATTCAGCAACAGCCTTTTTCAAATATATGAAACTTGGTCTGTGTTTATTTCCATTTTTAGCTTTAGCAGCTTAAAAACAGTTGAGGATAATGGATATCTGAGAGATCTGGCAGTAATAAAAGTATCAAGTGGCATTTAGTCACTGATTTCTCAGATATGTAAGTACCTAAACACACCCAGAGGAGAATGTTCCTCTTTGGGCTGTAAGGAACACCTGGTCAGGTGGAAAAGGCTAAGCTCATGTTTTTAGGATTCATTCCTCCTTATGAATATTGTTTAACACCAAATCTGACTTTCCAGGAAATAATTTTATCCTCTAGCAAAATGTGCATGCTGTTGTTTCTCCTTTTTAACAAAGATGACTGATATAAGACTGACTGTGGGTTTGGTGGGGAGGTTTGTTGTTGCTCTCCAGAGATGTATTAAAAAACCCCTATAACAAACCAAACCCACTCTGTTTTGAGCAAAGTCCTTTTGTGCCCAAGTCTCTATTTGTAACTGGACAAACATAAACCTAA